TATGATGTAGTCGTGTGTGAACTCAAAAAGCATTTGTTAGTAGGCTAGAATTGGTTCGGTCGCACTCATATGCTCCCTTTGGATGCCCCTTCAGAAATTGCTGCTGATTCGAAATCAGTCGCAAAAGGGCTCTATGGACCTTGTCTCTAACATGGCCCGGACAACCGTCGACATGCACTGCTCCATTCCCTTCCATTTTTATGGAAAGAAAACAAGAACAATGCAGCACATCTTCCTTCGACTTCGTGGCCTTGTTTTCTGTACTTTTGACATACTTTCCTGCACCATTGCATCCATATGAAGTGATTAAATTCAGATTTTTTTCAGAAGGTGAACGGTCGATACATAATCTCCATTAAACCCATGGATTTCGAGTGTATAGAAGTCATTCCACCCACTTCTTGTTGTTCTTCCAATCATGTCTATAAAAGCTTGATTACAAATAGTGCTACTGTTGGAACTGTTAGATAAACTATGTGGTTTACGTCGAGTTCTTGCTTGTTTCCGGAACTCATCGTGAAAACGTTAAAAATTCTTGCGGCTCTCTTTCCGTCTTCATCTGCGTGTTATTCTTCGCAGTAAGCTGCTAGATGCTTATGGCTTGCAAAGCCCTCCTCGCACTGTGGACAGATGACATCTTCTCTTTNAGAAGCCGCTTGTGGAGCTTGCCACTTACTTCATCCCCTCCATTTCTTCTGTAGTATAGAAATGTACTACTCGATGGTGGTAGAGATTTTTTGCATCACCTTCTTTCATACAAGGCAAGAACACAGAACACTTCAAATTATCTTAATAAGTAGTTATAGAAAGCAGATTTGAAATCACATAAAACACAAAATTTATGAAGAGAAGGTAATAGCACCGACGTTACATGATGCTATGTCGAGAAGGTAACTGAGAAGAAGCTTGCAAAGTACTTATATAGCCATGAGTGTATTTCAACATTAATCGTATATTTCAATAACTCTGATCAGGACTCAACTCTTCTCCGTCAGAAAATACAAAAATGAATAAGCAGTGGAACCTCGGTAGAATACCGCAAAATTTATTCTCTGCTAGATCACTAGCCGCAGATTATAAATACACGTGAAGAGCCTTCACAAAAAATAATCGATAGGCTGCGAAAATCCAACAGATTTAAAATACAGCGCCGAAATTCACTACTCAGAATTTTGGAGTACTGAGTAGTGAGCACTATTACCCGCTATTAATATTCCGTTCTATTCCGAATAATATTCCGAATTTAATATTCCGAATATTCCGCTTGAGAGTGCTTTGTATCATTTCAAAAATTGCAGACGAATGTAGTCGTCCAGCGTTAGCAGATGATGAAGTACTAGCTGACTAAAATTATCAGAATACAGCGAAATGCAGGGGAATATTAGAACGTTGTGAAGGCTGGCTATTAATATTCCGTTCTATTCCGAATAATATTCCGAATTCAATATTCCGAATATTCCGCTTGAGAGTGCCTTGTATCATTTCAAAAATTGTAGACGAATGTAGTCGTCCAGCGTTAGCAGATGATGAAGTACTAGTTGACTAAAATTATCAGAATACAGCGAAATGCAGGGGAATATTAGAACGTTGTGAAGGCTGAATATAGCCAAGGAGTAAAAATTTAAGGTAGTTTGAATCATCAGAGAAGTCGCAGCCATCCATCCGTAGTTTTCGAAGCATAGACGATGGATAAATGAAGAACACTGCAAAATACAGAAGATAGTAGAAGAATGAAAGTCAAATTCTTTCTTTTGGCGCTCTCACTCATTGATCATTAAAATAGGGGCGAGGCTTAGGCCTTGACATCGTGCCAGCTGTGGTCTCGCAGCGAATGATTTCAAAAGTTGGCAAATTTGTACGGAAGCACCTGCAGATTTAGTTGGCTTCCTGGATTTATTGCGGACTACTAGTGTCTTTGTATAGACTTAAAATTCTTCACTAAAGAAGTCAGTTTAGTTCGATTGTTTTTGCCAATTAATTGTACAAAGAGTAATGACGGTGGCATCGATGAATTAATATGAGGATAGGACGGCGATAGTCGTCGAATTCGACTGTTGTACTGTCGCAGTACAATACATACGTTTTGCCGTAGATACCGGAGTCAAAAGTAAATTTTTGATGGTTCGGCAGTCTCAGCAACCGCACTCCACTAGAACAGATGGTTTATGAACCGGCGTTTCAGCGGTTCCAGTACCACGCAAAACTGAGTTCTCACCCTGTACACCCCATACATCCGTGAGGCGAAGTGTACTGCATTGTTCAGAACGATTACACTGGNTATATATTCCGTGATTTCATTAACTCGGCTATATATTCCCACTAGATCTTGGGTAAATGCACAATAAGTTGCCAAAAAAACGTACAGCTCTACGTACCCATGAACACAAATGTGAGGGACTCCGGCACAGTGTGTTCAGTGTGACGTCTTATCTTCTCACTTTCCTCAAAATGTTTTCTATGCAAATAACAGTGCAGACCCAATACTTCACAACTTTACAAACAAACACTTCCCTTCCAATAGAGGGTATACTTTCTCCTGACATCATCCTATCCTCATATGCTCATTATCTCCTGTATCTTAATCTGTAGCTGCTTGGAAGTCAGCGCTGAAGAGACACGGTTAATGGACGTGCTGTAGCATTTGTTCAACTTCTATGTTGTTATAACAATTTTTCTATCGATCTTAATAAAGTTGAACTCCTGATGACTTTGTGTCATCCTGCTCCGTTGGTTTGGGAAGAATGGCAATATGAGAAGAAAATAGTTTTATTGAAATTTGTGTCGCAATTGTACAGCGTGGGAACGTGATAGATTAGTGACGCCTGTGCTTGAAGCGCCAACGCCGGAACGGCTGCGCCTGGGGTTGAGGTTGAGGTTCCACTAGGTTCACTTGACAGATCGAGTGGTATTGCAGGGAGCATGGGTAGAAGTAAACGTAATTCGATGAAGACATCTCGATGTTGTAGAAGGCTGCGCATGTTGAAACTGTGGACCATCCGTTGGACACTGACGAAAAGGGCCTTATTAGCCAGTTTCTGAAATTATCATCTGTTTAGTCAAGGACACATGTCGAAGTGCAGTTATGCACTTACACCGCGGATGGGTCCATTGCTACGGCTTCCTGGAAATGTGGTACGTCCACCGAAGTATCCTGGGTGATGCCAGTCCATGTCCAGTAGAATGCTGGAGTCATTGCCATCACTTCATCCTAAAACCAATGTGAAATGTGGAATCGGCACCGATATGAAGAAAACAAATTAATTTATAAAAATTCAGGTCGACACTTACCCACACAGCCTTGGACGAAGGAGCAAACATAGAAGCTCCCTTCTGTTTGCATCTCATTTCAGCCTGATCATAGCTGAGCTTCTCCGTCTCAATATAGAAACAGGAATCGTCGATTTGCTGGAATCCTTCTGGACATGTCTAAATGTACAATAAAATTATTTCCGAAATGTTTCTTTGAGAAGAAAACATCAAAGCTAATGAATGAAGCCAACCTTTTGCGATTGGTCATAAGGAAGCTGGTTGACAGGCTCTTCGTATCCTATTGGCACGGGTACTGGTTCTGCATATCCCAGCTCCTCGGCTTGCACTGCTTGCCTTACAACGCACCCGCAACAGCCAACTCTTACTAAATTTTCTTGTTTTTCTATGATTAAAGACCTTGAGGCAGTGCAAATTTGAAAAAGCATCTGATCGTTATGCTAACTTCTACGATAAACTTGTGTTGTAGTGGTCGTGGCTGTGGTGGTGGTAGTGGTTGGATCATACNTTTAACGTTTTCTGGTAACTAATACTGTTAATATTTTTCAAGAAAAACTCGTCCCAGTTACAGTATATTACTACCTGCTGGAACGACTTCAGTAGTGGTAGGCACTTCAGTGGTAGTAGTTGTTGTTGTTGTAGGATCTTCTTGGACTGGTTGGCATCCACAGCAGCAACCGCAGGCGGTACTCTGGGATTGAGCTACTTCAACGACCATGGGCGGTTCGGTAGTAGATGTAGTTGTAGTCGTGGTCGTGGTAGGGTCTTCATGAGCTGGTTGGCATCCACAGCAACAGCCACAGCCAGCATGTTGCTCGCTGGGGTAGTTGAACACACCAGCAATCAGGACAAAAAATATCAAGCCCCTGAAAAATCGTTTTAGTAAGGTTACATTATACTTAGCCATGAATGTAGAAAAATGATAATAAAGCTTGTAAAACACCGCAAACTTACTTGAGCACCATTCTTGATTGACTTCCTGTACGTGAGTCTCGGAACGCTTATATAGGACTCAGGTCAGCCTCATTGAACCTCTAGGCTTATCATACCAACAAAGATAGCATTTGATCAAGATTGAGCACCTTGGGTGCTGACACCTCAGAATAATTGCCGCCCAGGCACAGCTAGGCGACGATCGCGGCCTCAACCTGTCCTTAGGTTGATTCCTAATGGTATCTGTGGTGAGTTGAGAGGAAAAACAGTCAGACTTTGCATCCTCTCGTGTAACTACAGAATGTTCAACAAAAATGAAACATAACAATAGGATATAAGCTGGTCTTTCCATCGGTTATACTCCAATGACTAGCATTGCGTTCTCGACTGATGTAAGAAGCCTGTGCACAGCATTCCGGCGAGTTAGCTTAGCAATATGGGAATGCCACTTCATTGCAACTGCACTTGGAATCAGTGGAAACCAACCACAGAAAATATGAGCCTACTATTAGTAGTTGTAACAGCTGACGTGAATCTCGTCAACCGGTCTGAGTGAACCCAACAGGGTTCGAAGCCACTACACTCTTCACTACTACTGCTGTTCAGTGGATAGGAGTTAGCACTGAATAATGTTAAGCTAAAGGCTTTAAGATGGGCAGCTAACTAAAAAGGACCAAATTCTACGGCTCAAATCAAAGGGGCAATTTCGTGCCCAATCATCAACTCCATTTTACTTAAACTGGCAATCACTGTCAAAATAAAAAACGAGTTCCATGTGTCATGCCTTCGGTTGTCTGAACGTTTAGAACGTGCATGGCATTGTTTTGGCAATAAAATCAAAGTTTTTGATATTACAACTGAAAAAGTACTATTTAGTCCGTAGTTGATTTCTACCGGGGCCCATCAACTGCCTAAAATGAGTCGATGTCTCTTCCTACTTATTTTCTTTTATTCTGTAGTCGTCTATGAATGTGCCATTTTCAGGTGAACATATTTCTAGAAGATTCATATGTTCAATTAAACTTGTTATTCACTCGAGAAGCCAGAACTGTTCTGATTTTTGATTTTTTGTGTTTTATACCAAAGACACATTCGACAAACATCCATTGCCGCTTTCAAAGTCCCATCAGAAATGCGGTTAACACCTCCAATAAGGAAAAATAATTTTGAAAAAGGCGCTAGGCGCAAAATCGTGGGCTCGGCTGAAGACGAATTGAATTGTAAAATAGCCCGAGTGATAATTCACAATTTCATTTTTTGACGATCAGAGTGACTATTTTTTCTACTGAGATCAAGTAAGGGAATAATANCACTTCGTAGCAGCTTCAACCTCTAAGATGGTATTTTTATTGTTGACCATTTATAATTAACCTCTATTTTAGGCAAGCTCGTGTGAAGAGATGTAACGAGTGTGGCGGATACGGTGGAGGGTTCTATCCAGCGGGAAAGTTTGGTCGTGGATATTTTGGTGGGGAGGGTTACGAAAGCCGGCAGTTTTACCAGTCTCAAAGATTCGGTGGAGGCTACAACTACGGAGGAGGAGGTTTTGGTGGTGGTATGCGTCCTTATGGTCCCATGGGCATGGGCCCAAGAGGTCGAATGGGAATGGGACCAATGGGACGATTCGGACCCCGTATGCCTCCTCCTCCACCTCCACCTCCTCCACCTCCAGCTTATGGAGCTCCATGTCAAACTGGATGTCAAGCAGGAATGGTTCCTCCTGTTGGAGGTAAGTGTAATTTTAATTTACTTGGCTGTTAGATAAAGTTGGATCAATGCTCTATCATTGGCTTAAAAATCAGCTCTCAGAAACTGATTATTACATCACTTGCAAATGAAACAAACCAATGTCCCCTCATGATCATGTTTGAAGGGAAGCTCGTGTAACGACTTCACTATTTCACGGCCTCCAGTGCTACATGAACGACAGAACGTTGGTAATGGTAAACAGTTAGGGACAATTGATATGGGCGAATATGGTGTAATGGCAAGTGGTGCACACTATCACACGCATAGTAAGAGGATCGAGTCTGGGATAAACTTTATTCGTTCAAGCCACCCAAGCCTCCCATATCTACACCGTCGCATAGCTGGTGCCAGACTCGTCTGGGAGATCTAAAACACTGTCCTGTGCATCGATTAGCCACCGTAAATCATAGCTTACTCCATATATGCATTCAAAACGGTACTACGACTCTAAATGGAACTTGAATGGAGCGCTTCTCTGAACGGGCGGGTTTGCTCAATGCTTCAAGACAACATCCTTCCAAAGTTTTCTTTATCGACAGTATGGCCCAAGCTGTAGCAGTGTTGTCGCTATGGTCACGTCAACTTGGGTCACTTGCTGTTACTTGCACTTTCTGGGATTCCTCCCTCTGTGAGCATCCCATCATCAACTAGTAGTAATGTTTTTCACATCACAATAACGAAAGGTAGTTTTGCGGACGGGCAAATAGATCAACAAACAAATTCACCCACCAGGTTGCTACCTTACATATCAAAGCGCTTATTGTGTTAGTGCTTTCATTACCTGTATATCAATTTGAGTTACCTGGTCCTTGCTGACCTTCTACTTTGTATTGGAACCTCAGTGTTAGGAGTGGAGTGTTTTTCAAATTACACCCATAAACGAAACCACTGGGAGTCTTCGGGATGGGCAAATAGTTCGACAAATGGCCAAACCGGCACACCAGATTGTTTTCAATACGAAAGATGACTTTGTAGGTCTCATTGTGAAATCCTCTCCATAGTCGAGCTCTGGGGGGAGGAGGACAAGGTTCTGATAGAGATTTTCTTCGAATATTTTTTGCCTCTGAGCCGATATTAGTTCGAGCTTGGTTTTTTCTGACTAGTACAGTGAGCCAACGAAAGCATCTTCTGAACGTAAATAAACAAATGAGTCATATCAACAACATTTCAGCAGCCAGTTCAGCAAGTCAACAAGAGCTTTCCATTTCTACCAACTTCAATCTTCGTTCTGGAGCGGCGAGCACTGTAATTGGACGCTAAAGCGACTCCCGTTTTGCAATCACCCATTTGTTTCAGAAAGGGACCACTTCGTTTTGTTGTGAGATTATTGAATATACATATGTTATGGATGTCTGAATGTTCAAAGGCATAGTTCGCCCTGTGGGTATGAATATCACGTTTCGCTGCAAATTTCAGTAACTCAGACAATAAAGAGATTGAATATGATAGTCTTTCAAATAATAGTAGAAAAATGGCACCGGAACGCCTCATCTACTTTTTGAGAGCACATACTTTCTTTATCTGAAACCAGTTATATTAATGTTTGGTAAAAAGTCATACATGATACTCGTTACAAAGCGAAATTGAAGGTAAACTCCAATCATATCCTGTGAAAAGCGTTTATACAATAAACGAAAGTCTGATCACAGCTTCGAGGACACTTGAGGAAAACTTGAACAGTGGCCGCAATTGGAAAACTTACTCTTCAAAAAAAAAATCATTTGCCTCGAAGCTACATTAGTTGGAAAAAAATTGGAGGGATTTTAGGATTTTGACGTCCCGTGAAAGTGTGATACTGTAACCCCTAGTGCCCCATCACCTGCCCCCGTAGGCTTCACGTGGGGAACCTTTCTGTTGCGTCTTATATGTGACGGAAGTTGGGAGACACTTGAATTTGTGTTCGGGTTACTGTGTAACACATTCACGGGACGATTAAATCCGACTTGTTGAAAAAACTATTACGAGTGGAAGTTACATTTCCCAGAAAATTGATGGACTTGGTCTTCGGCGAATGAAAAAAAGAAAGTCATCTACCATGTACCTTTACACCGCTTTCATAAGGACGTCCAATCACCGAGCCGAGCCAGGTCTTGATATTTGCATGACGCCATTAGAAATCGCCCATGTAAAGGTCAACTAAAGTTCACATCACGTCTTCCGCCTCTTGATGTGCGGTTACTTAGCTGGTGCTGGTCACCTTTTCTTCTTTTGTTGACATGGCTTCGGAACCTGTTTCCCCCATACAGATATGTGCATCGTCTAACTCCAAACTTTGCACTCCCCATGGCGCATTGAATGACTCTAGCCATTGCTAACCAAGCACAATCAGATCCTGTCAATTTTCGTTTGGACTGATCGTTATTCGGTGTTATAGGCACATTGTGTGACAATGTAACTGCTTCCCAATGACCATTGCTTCCATGTTTTCCAATTCTTGCTGACGAACGACGTTTTCGATAGTTCAGCTGCACTGGAAGGCTTAGATGAGATAATATGGTTCTCTTTTGACCCTCTTTTCACCTTGAAGACGACAGTGACTGTGGAGCTCGCAAAGCCGTGGTTGTCTTTTGTGTGAATTGCCACCTCTGCCTCGGTAGCATCAGAAGCTCTGTGCAAATTCGCGATCGTACGACATAATGACATCCAGTCCTCTCGTGAGACTTCACTAAGTTTAGTGACCGTAAATATATCACCGATGGTGCAAAAGCTTGACTGAAAACTTTGCGTGCTCGCATAACACTCCTTCAACCATTGCCATTCCTGTCTAGGAAAAGAGCTGTGGAGAGCCTGTAGATCACCATAAAAGGTACAATTTCTCATATTGTCCTTGTATAGGGCACGACTGCATCTCGGGCTTACTACAAACTTATATTGCCACAGGCAGCATCTGAAGAGCCGAGCTAGAGCATTGCAAAAAAAATTTCAGCCTAGGTACCTTGGCCATTCGTCACTTCTTTGAAGAACTCAAAAGCTTCAGTGCAATCAGGCCGGCAACCCTAGACAAATTCACGCCGAAGGCAGCCTATATGGGCTGCCAGGTAATAACTGCCCGTTATTTGCTTATACCATAATCTTTTTGAATATTCTCGACCCCGATGAAATAGTTAGGGGTTGGCGTACACGCGATTCCCGTTGGCGAAGGAAACTTTAAATATAAGAAACAAAAAATTTCCACATTCAGAGCATTTGGTATAAACTCTGGTAACACCTTTCCTTGTTTGTTCTCTTCCTGAGTTAGAACTTGTGCGTTGATAGCAGCCATAACATTTTTCTTGGCCAACGCCGTCCAACGGGTTTGTCCATCATTTCAAGCCACCTTTTTTGACATTGAGTTGTATTGTGTGTTCATGTTTGTTGCAGTAGTGTCATGTATTCTTACAGTAGCAGATTCGTGTTCAAATAGGAATGGAGCAAGCTTTTTCACATCAGTAGGCAGCTGTCCTTATCAAAAACACATCCTTTTGGTGGCGCCAACATCCGATTCTTCTCCATCTTCATTGACAACGAGGACACCATTGTAATCCACTGCAAACTCTTCCAACTCCTCGTCACTATGGAGCAATAAAGCGTTGGAACTCTGATTAAGTATTCGTCGTTCATAGTTTTCCGTTTTCTGGGCCCACATGGACTGTCACGGCCGATGCACCAAAAAAGGCGAATATCGGTG